ATTGGTGACGTCAGAGAGCGACCTTTCCTGTGTTCACCACCCTTCTTCTTCCGGGTATGATTTTATCAAAGATATTTTGTAGATATATCTTGCTCTTGGTGTTTCAAGTAGTACCTTGTATTTACAAGATTGTATGTATAACATAAAATACGACAGATATATATCATAAGGTTGTGGGAGAAGGATATTTATTTATAAAAAGGGTATCTCTCTTTCTTTGAAAAGGTAATAAAACTATGAATTTTGTTTTAATCCTTCAGTACGTTTTGTAATAAGCTCCACTTCGTAGCAAGCCGCCCTTGTACTGATGGTTGGTCTTTTGTCTGAATGTACCAAAACTGGCGTAGTGGGCTCATTATTTATCTCCATCAATTAGCGTTGTAAGGGGCGATTACCCAAAGTGTATTAGTTAAATGCATTTTTTAAGAGAGAGGTGCAACCTTTGGTACATATATATTACTGAGAAGCTTCACCAGTGATTAGATGAACCCTCTCATTATCATTTCAGCAAGGTTCTATGGAGATATATTTTATAATAAATATCACAAGAAATCTATTGACCAAATTTCATTATTACGAATTTTACTGATAGATGAATTTAATATATCATGATATATATATCTTATATAAAGAAATGATGAAATTTCCTGCTTGTGAGGAAGATCATCTTGAGGATTATGGTAATGTAATTGCAGTCGTGTTTAAAAATCTTGAGGGAATAATAATAAATATGGTTTTGATCAGAGATTTCTTTATTTGGCTCAGGAATATATATGAATAACATAATTTGGTAAAAGTGCTGCCTGGCTTAAGGCGAGTAGAACAAGGAAAAACAAAAGATTATTTACATAATGTACAAAAGATTTGAGCCGGCCAACGGGGAAACAACAACAATGAGTTTTTATAGGGGAAGAGTGACCTCTTGGCGATCGATTTAGCAGAGTATTTGAATCGATAAAATATAATTTTAAATAAAATAATACTTTAATATAACATAATTTTAAATAAAAATATTTTAATATAATATATATATGTTATTATTATATTCATTAGAACACACAATGTATCTTTTTTTTCTGAGAATCATACAGGTTAGGCTTCGTTCAAATTTAAAATCTGATGTTGTCGCTAATTTACTCTTACTAATCTGAGCATTAACAATCATTAGGTTCGTTTATGTTACGATATTCTAATGTTTAAATGTCTGTCAGTCTTGCTTACATAGCTGATTTTGCGTTCTTTATATTTTATAGAATATATGGCATACTTAATATTATTTGGATAATTAATAATATCATTCTTTGTTATGGGGTTGGATATAGTATTATTTACCTAACTAATATTAAGTATAGCCATATATTATATAGTATGTAAAAGATACAAAATCATATATATCGGTGATACCGGCTGACATTTAAACATAAGAATATCGGATCATAAACGAAATATAAACAGCCAAGACAATATATCATTAGTGCACCAGCATATGAAAGATACAGGCCACTCATTCATCTCTTATCATAATCAAAACCCCATTGCTATAACATCATAAATAACAGAGGCTTATAATAGAATAAATCATATCAAGGGGGGGAGGGGGGGGGGGGAGAAGTCCGACAACACCTCCCTGCGGTCCCCCTGGACCCTTGGAATATTCGACCAAATTCTGGTTCGTTGCCAAGGTGACTAACGTGGCAACGGCACCCATTTTCCAATGAAGAGCAAGATAGTGGATATTGCTGCTGATGTGATGGAGAGAGAGATGCAATGGCGACATCTGAGACTCTTCTTTGGACACGACAACAACAACAACAATCATATCAAGAAAACACAATAGTATTAACAAAAGACTGAACCGTCTGGATATTTACAATATACTTTTACCTGAGTCACCCTACAGCCTCCAAATATAGAAATACCTACTAAAGATATACAGTAAACCAAAAGCATATTAATGTCAATAACTGCAGTTTATTTGGAAACAAAATTGGCATTTCCTGACCTCACATGAGCATTTTTATATCGCAGAACGCCATCTAGTGGAACAAAAATCAACTAAACGTTGATTCAGATGGCGCTATGATATCTAAAATGTATAAGTGAACGGTCAGGAAATGCCAATTTAGTTTTTAATATCAACACCTGACCATTTTTCTATTTTGTTCTTTTTTTTTTCACATAAAAAGCGTCTTTACGAAATCTTTGCCATAAATACTTATTTCTTGTTATCTCAGGAAGCCTCTGAGACCAGACCTTTGATCGTAGAGGTACAGTCTTCACTCACGCTGACGAGGGCCAACAGCCCGAAACGCCGTACGTGGTTAACTTTTCTTGATTTATCAAGAAATTGGGTTGACCAAATATTTTTGGAACAAGCTAAATCAACGTTTAGTTGATTTCTGTTCTACTAGATAGCGCTCGGCCATAAAAATAAATGTGAAAATGTATTTTCCTCGAACATATTTATGAAATTATGTAAAATAGCATCTGATTATTACTCGTGTCCTGTCGAAGATTTATTGTAACGTGTGAAAACACGATTTCTGTAGAAAATCTTCGATGCCCTAAAGCTAGAGAATCTGAATTTAAAAATTTTCAAAAGAAATTTTTCCCTAGAAGCCTAATATTTTCACTTTACTATCGACACAATGGATTATTTCTATTGAAATAAAATATTTAATAATATTTCAAAATATATTTTTAAATTTATATTTGACTCTGTGTGTGTTTACTTGTTTTGATACCACTAGTACATACACTCTTTCCTTCTCAATATTTGAAAGTTGTTTCTAGTGAATTCAAACCGGTAGATCATAAATATAACCTTCATTTTTCAAAATTAGCTCAATATTTTGAAAAATATTTGAAAATATTTAATTTTATAAAGAAGCTGATGTCATCGCTGTCATCAAAATATTTTGAAGATATTGACTTTGTAAGCATAAAATTTAATCATCATTTAGATGAAATGCATACCATTGCAATTTCATATCAAGAAAATGTTTAACAATACATTTTTTTCAGAAATACTTTTAAATATATAAATAATGCCGCGTAAATGCAAAGCTAATCCAGAAATGTTCTGCTACATTTGTGAAAATTTAAAATTCCCAAACAGAGGAAACGTATCACCCCAAAGATAAAAGAATACTATAAAGAATATTTTGGTGTGGCCATAGGTGATCAAGACAAGTGGTGGTGCCCCCATAGTGTGTGCGGAACGTGCTATCAAGGGCTTTTGCAGTGTAAATCGGAGATATAAAAATGTATGCCCTTTGGTGTACCAATGGTTTGGCGAGAAACAAAAAATCACCATGAGGATTGTTATTTCTGTGTCTGCAAAATCACAAGCCTTAATAGTAAAAAGAAGCAAACTAACTTTTATCCTGATATACCATCAGCCAGGCAACCTATTCCTCACGACCTCGAGAATCCCATACCGATTCCTAAAACGGTTCAAGAATCCTATATCAAAAAGGATTATCAGCAAAGCATTCACAGATGATCATCAATTAGAAGACACTGAATATATTTCAAATGAAAGTGGCATTCCACATTTATTTGATCAGGCCTCATTAAATGATCTAGTTAGGGATCTAGGGCTATCAAAAGAAGCAGCAGAAATCCTTGGATTAAGATTAAAGCAAAGGAACCTCTTGTTACCACAAACCAAAATCTCTGTCTATCGTAATAGGGAACAATGTTTTTTACCATTTTTTTCTGAATAACAAGGATTAGTGTACAGAAATGATATTAAAGGCGTTTTTAAAACTCTGCAAAGGAATTACAATGCTACCGAACATGACTCTTTATTGATTCCTCTAAACAAAGTTTGAAGGCTTGTTTGCTGCACTATGGTAGTGTATTACCTTCCATACCAGTTGCCTATTCAACTCAAATGAAAGAAACCTATTCAACTCTTAAGAATTGTTGAATTATAACAATCATTGTTGGAAAGTTTGCGATGATATTAAAATTATAGGAATTTAAGGGTTTTAGAAAGGAATTGCTTTTTATGCAAGTGGGACAGCAGAGACAGAAATAATCATTATATACAAAAAATGTGGCCTGAAAGAAGTATGTTTCTCTTAGGTGAACAAAGCGTTGAAAATGAACCGCTTGTCCATAAACTAAAAATGCTTCTTCCCCCTTTATATATCAAATTAGGGTTAATGAAAAATTTTGTAAAGGCTTCAAAGAAAGATAGTGATGCTGTCAAATATTTAAAGACTAAATTTCCGAAGATTAGTTGTTCTAAGATAACGGAAGGTATTTTCATTGGACCTCAAATTCGTAAACTAATAAATGACGAAGAGTTTATTGCAACATTGAAAGAAGATGAGAAAAATGCTTGGCTTGCATTCATCGACGTTGTTAAACACTTTTTAAGCAAAAATAAGTCACCGAATTATGCGAGAATCGTAGAAAATATGATTTCCAAATTTTTCATAATGAATCTAAAATTGCATTTTATGGATTCACATTTAAACTTTTATCTGATAATCTCGGTGCAGAGAGCGAAGAACAAGGTGAACGCTTCCACCAAGATATTAAAATCATTGAGCAACGATACAATGGTCTTTGGAACCAACATAGGGTGGCGGAATTTTGTTAGAATCTGATGTGTGATGACAAACAAGATAAATATAATAAACTACACATAAAAAATCTTTAAATCCATGAATATAATTTTTATTACTTCCTAAATATTACTGCATCTTTATAAATAATGTTTGGTAAACCAAATAAAATGTTTTTTCGCATAAACAGCTTTTTGTTAAGACCTTCCATCCTATATATAAAAACAATTCTCCTGATAATTTTGAAAAAGAAAGGGAAAGAAATTAGATTTTTTTTAAATTAAAATTTATATGGATAGAGTAAGTAGTTTGATATATACTACTCTGGTCAAAAGGTTTCGACACTTTGCTTCAGGGTAATCCCCGTTGGCCGCGATGCACTTCAGCCACCTTTTTTTCCAGTCGGCAAAACACCTCTGGTAGTGTGTTTTCGGGATCGCCTTCATGGCCTTCTTCGATTCCACTTTGATCTCTTCTATGCTCTGAAATTTCCGACCCTTTAACTTTTTTTTTTGAGCTTTCCAAAAAGGAAGAAGTCGCAGGGGGCCAAATCGGGACTGTAGGTGGGTTGGGGGAACACAGAGGTTGAGTGGTCCTGCAGGAACTTCGAGATTTTGAGGGCTGTGTACGCCGGCGCGTTATCGTGGTGGAAGATCCACGACTTGCTCCTCCACAGCTCCGGCCGTTTCTGCCTGATCGCTTCCCTCAATCGCCTCAAAACTCCCAGGTAGGAGTCAGCAGTTATTGTAGAGCTTTGTTGTTGAAATTCATGATGAACGATGCCCTGGTAGTCGAAGAACACCGTCAACATAACCTTGACTTTGCTGGGAGCCTTACTCGCTTTCTTTGGTCTCGGCTCATTTTTGAAGCGCCACTCCGATGCCTGTTGGGTAGTTTCCGAATCAAAGCCGTAAATCCATGTTTCGTCTCCAGTAATGACCCTCTTCAGCAATTCGGGGTCGTCGGTTGTCGCTTCGAGATTGAGACTTTTGATCAAAAGTCAAATCTTTGGGAACGAGAACGGCGTTGAGTCTTCTCACTCCCAAAATGTCCTTCATCATCGATTGAGTCGACCCGAATGATATCCCTGCTTTTTCGGCGACCTTCCTGACAGTTATTCGTCGGTCTTCACGCACCAGTTCCAACACCTTGTCCACTTTTTCAGGCGTGGTTGATGTGGACGGTCTCCCAGAACGCTCGTTGTCGGCGGTCTCTTCCCGACCCTCCTTGAAGCGCTTGTACCACTCGAAAATTCGTCTTCGGCTCATGACAGCATCCCCATAGGCTGTTTGCAACATCCAAAAAATGTTGGGCACCTTTGAATCCGTTTTTCACACAGAACTTGATGAAAATGCGTTGATTTATGTGTGAAAAAAACATTCGTTTTTTTAATGTTTTCATTTGCTATATATAGATGGCGCGTTGTTGGCACCAGCCTGCTTTGAGCACCCTAATTTTTTCAAAGTAAAATTGCCGGAGAACCAGATCAACCGGTAAAAGCCAACCGGGCCCACCAACGTGCTGTCGGCCCCAACGATAGACGCTTTGCAACGCATCGAAGGGAGCGCGACTGAGATCCAACTACGAGATTTTTAACCGCGACAACTTTAATATACGCTATTGGAGCTAGAGTTACCGCGGCTGCTGGCACTAGACTTGCCCTCCAATAGATCCTCGTTAAAAGGTTTAGAGTGTACTCATTCCAATTACGGAGCCTCGTTAGAGTCCCGTATTGTTATTTTTCGTCACTACCTCCCCGTGCCGTGAGTGGGTAATTTGCGCGCCTGCTGCCTTCCTTGGATGTGGTAGCCGTTTCTCAGGCTCCCTCTCCGGAATCGAATCCTGATTCCCCGTTACCCGTAACAACCATGGTAGGCGCATAACCTACCATCGAAAGTTGATAAGGCAGACACTTGAAAGATGCGTCGCCAGTGCTAGGACTGTGCGATCCGCCATAGTTATTCAGAGTCACCACGACTATCGGAGTTGCCCCAGTTTGGTCTTGGTCTAATAAAAGCACCCTCACCCTAAAAGGGACGAGGGCTCAATTGCATGTATAAGCTCTAGAATTACCACAGTTATCCAAGTAAATGTGTACGATCTAAGGAACCATAACTGATTTAATGAGCCATTCGCGGTTTCGCCTTGCTAGGGCGTGTACTTAGACATGCATGGTTTAATCTTTGAAACAAGCATATGACTACTGGCAGGATCAACCAGGTATCCTTCGCCAGTCCCCGCCGCGAGACGCCCTCGGGCCGCCTCGCCGGGACCACGCTTAGGGACGCAGCGCCCGCCTCTCCGTGGCGGCCACCGCACCCTTGACCCCCTCCGCCGGAAAGGCCGAACCTCCACCCACTGGTCCGGGCACTTTCCACGCATCCGTCCAGACGCGAGTTCGCACAACCCAGCCGGTACGCCTCCCGCGACCGCGCTGTAAATAACCGCTTTCTCCAGGTTAATATTCGCTCGGTAAGCCAACGAGGAACGCCATTGGTAATGCCAATACAGTATTAGAGCTCTATAGAAGAGGTCTAGTTGATTAAATTGGAGAAGCGGCTGGGAGGGTTAACTACTGATGAGTCAAGCCCTCCCAATATTTTTTCATCCCAGAAAGGACAGTATAAATTATATTTATGTGTGAAAGAAACATCTGCGTCTTAATGTTTTCATTTCCTTTATTTAGATGGCGCGTTATTACTTTATATAACAGCTATATATATATATGTTCCAAAGTTCACAAAATGTTGACAATGTCAAATAATCGTTAATAAAGAATTTTATTTTGCGCGATAATGGAATTATATTTAAAAAAATATATTATATAATGGCGTATCATCGTTTATTGTAACAATTTAAAATTATTAATGGTGTGAAACAATGTAAAAATATAGAGCAAAAAGTGAATAAACTTGTAAAAAAAGAGTTGAGTGAATAAATTTCAAACTGTAAAGTTCCCAAAAAGAAGTTTATCCTGGCTCAACTTGTTACCGACATGTTTTAAATTCATGGTATCATATGTGGGGTAATGTGAAACTTTAATCAATCTGTGAAGGATAACTAAAACATATATAGATTGATGTACTTTATATTTTATATCCACGTAGTTTCTCATTTTAACGTATTGTACGATCTGAATTTTTGTTTTCCGAATAAAATTTGTGGAGCCTAGAATTCCCTTATTATAAATCTTGACAGTGAATCAATCATTGACGCGTCGTATTGAAGCTGTTGTAATTTGTTTCTCAATTTCATTCTAACACATACCTGAGAATAGTAATAGTGTATTTTACACCTATTTTTCGAGAATAAATAAATTTAAACTCGACGGTGTCTCTTATAAAACAACAACAAGAACAAAAAGCTTATTAAAACATTTTAGTCTTATACAGATTCTCCGAGCAGAAATGTAGGGCACAGACAGGAGTAACAGTAATAGTACAAGTAATCAGCAATGTTATCAGCAGTGTAGTATTTACGTATGTTTCATTTTATATATAATTATTCACACACACATTCATCTGTATTAAGACCATCGGTATTATACAGATTTACCACAGGAAAGAAGCAGAGATGGAACTTCTATACTACAGGCTGCTCAGAACCCAACAGCCTCCAAGTCCGACGCATATATCCAGCGGCATATTTAATTATTCAAATACTTTAAGTGAATATAATGTATGGAGGTCAAATTTTGCGCATTTGCGCATAGTTTTGAATAGATTGTTCTATTGTAGTTCGAATTGTTTTTGGAATATCGTTTTGGACTACCTTGGGAACCGTACAACCTTTCAAATACGCGCGCGAAAATCCTTTATTGTCCGAATATTTAAAAATGTGTCACTTATAAAATGTAAAAACTTTCGAATCATAATAAATCTTCTTAAACATTATTTAAAAATATTTCTTGAAAATCATTCAAGTTTTTAATAGAACCTTATTGCAGTGTCGTGTAGTGAACTTTTTTACTCTAGTTGAAATGACCAATTTTGTTTGATTCAAGATACTTTACTCTTTCTACAGGTAAACTCCGTACAATTGGTATAAGTGTATAACGAATCAAAGGTTTTTACGAAGGAGTATCTTTTATTATATTTGTGCAAGCTTTCGAACTTTGCAGTTCTTCCACAGGCATGGATAGCACAGAAATACTACCAATTTTTTGCCATTTTGAGCCATTATATATACATGAATATTTACATAATTAGATATAATTTTAGTATATTGTATAAGCAAAATTAAGATATTCACTGTATGCAAATAGTATAATATTTTAAAATTTGTAAAGTTTAAAACTAGTATACGTTAAAACATTTCAACATAGAAAAGCCAAGCGGGGGTCACTCCAACTCGACCACCTACCCGGGCATATCTAAAGGATAACTATTGAGGTTTTATATGATAAACTTCCGGTAGATCTATTTTCCTGTTGATGCTGTTTGTTTGTGATGAAACGATGGATTCTAGTACCAATCTGTGCTGCTTATTGTTTATGTGTTGTTATAGGACTTTGGGTTGATCTAAGTTACAATTATGGCCAGTGTTTGAAATATGTTGGTATATAAGTGACTTCGGGTCTCTATTGTAGATGTTTCGTTTGTGTTCAGTGATTCTGATATACGCGGTTCTGCCAGTCTCCCCCACATAGGAGGCTGGGCAATCCTGGCAACAAACCGCGTATACTGCGCCGGTGGAGTGGATGGGATTGTTGGGTGTGTCTGCTTTGGTGATGGGATTCCTGAGGAGGGCAGCAAGATTGGGGGGGCTGTTGAAATAAACTTATAATTATTTAGGAAGAAAAAAAAAAGTTATGTAAAATATAATAAACTATGATTCACAGATTTTTAATATAGATTAAACATAAAGTCAGAACAGCAAGCTAATTCTGTATTAAATAATACCATTACGATAATTTCAATATTTATACATTTGTTAGATAATTTAAACATAAGAGGTTTTGTTTTATATATAATTAATAAATAGATAAATATAATTTTGCAGCATAGGCCGACTTCATGGAACAGGAAATTTTTGTCAGCGCCGGGTTGTTCCACGCGAGCTCGCGCTAGTGCTTCTTTTCTTTGCTCTCTTATAAACAATATTTATAAACTTCATATAAACTTCTCTCTCTTATTAAATTGTTCTTAATTGCCATACGACTTGATAATTATTTCATCATTACAATATAATGGGTTAATAAAAACTCCAGCAAAGTTTCGGAAAATTATTATAATAGTTCTGTCTTTTCCCTTTTCTACAAACCTATCTCTTCGCTTATTTCTTTTCTACCCAGCCTATGAGGCGTAACGGCCGAACCCTTCCTGGAGTTTTTCGCTCTATTATATTCTATCTATTTATTCAATTATATTTAAATAAAACAAACCTCTTATTTCTAAATTAAAACTAACAAATATATAAATGTTGAAATTATATTATATATATAATTACTTTTTATAATGATATGGTGTACATTAAATGGCATCGTAAGTCTTTGGAATCTTGTAGGTCCAAATTGTCTGAAATATCTAATAATATAGTTATTATGATGATTTTTTATCTGATTTCGCCTCTTAACGAACTAAATGGAAGTTATAAATATCCAATAAACACCCAATTATTAACGGAAGAGGCAACATTTTATAACTTCATTGTTAGGCGCCATATTATTTCTATATTACCACATGGAAAATTAGGGAAAACAAACTTCAGGGTGGCACCGCAATTTATTAAAGGCAAGACCAAACTATGCCTAATAAACAAAAGATAAGCAATGAAGGAAGTTTGAAGAGTAGCAAAATATAAACATAAAAAATAATACTCTGTTAATAAAATGATAAATACTTTGCTACAATATTATCCCCAAGAGAAAAATATCAGCGGGGACGATTTAATTCGGATCAAGTGGTTGACAAAAGATTAAATTTATAGTATTTATTTTTACTAGTTTCTTTATATATATTAATATTTTAAACAAATATTCTAAGTTGAGAAGTAGAGAAAGTATATATAAATCCATTGAATATATATTTATGCTGGCATTTTTTTATACCAAAAGATTTGTTGAAAGGAAATAAAATTATTTTGTATTTCTAAAATATTCTGACGCATTAGTAAATAAAAGAATGGTTTTCTGTTATCCCAACAAAATAATGTTTTGAATTTGTGAAGCCCTGAAAAAAAATTGTTCCAGGTATATTTTTGCCAAACGAAATTTTTGTTGCCGGGGGACCAAATCCTGAAGAGAAAATATCACAGAGTAACACATTCGAATATTTTTACATAGAGAGCTGAGAAGGAATAATATTATTTTTCAAAATAAATATATTCCGTTAGATTATATTATATCAATTGTATATATCTACATTTAGTCAAAATACGTCTTATATTTGCATGGCATATTTTCCTGCGATGACTACTTATATCACTAAAATGTGCCACAAAACATATCATCTTCATTGGTTATAAACTTCGTTATTAAAATAAATTCAACTATATATATATATATATATATATATATATATATAGTGGTACCTCGACATACGAGCGCCCCAACATACGAGTTTTTCGAGATACGAGCCGACGAGCAAGTGATTTTTTGCTTTTAGTTACGAGCGAAATTCGAGATACGAGTTCGGTCGGTTCGGTAGTAACACGCAGTCGCGCCATCACGATCAGTTAGCAGCGTGCTTCCGCTGTGATAAGTTGTGTTTTGTGTTGCGATTACATTTACAGTTTTAGTTCATTTATTTTTATAACCATGGATCGGAAGAAAGTTTGTATAAAGTCAAGTGCTAAGAAAAAGATGATGAGTATTGAATTAAAACGTGAAATAATAGAAAAACATGAGCAAGGTGTTCGAGTTGTTGACTTGTCGAGGCAGTATGGCCGTAGTACGTCCATGATATGTTCTGTGCTTAAACGGAAGGAGTCGATAAAGAGTGTAACGCTGGCTAAGGGCCTTACAATGGTTACATTGGTTTTGAGGAGTCAGAGGAGGAGGTTATTTCTACAAGTGAGATAAAGGAGATCTTAGGAATGTGGGAGAGAGTTTCACAGTTCGTGGAAAAAAAAATACCCAGAAAAAGTTGCAACAGGTCGTGCATCTGACCTTTTTAATGACACTTGCCTAACTCATTTCCGGAACATTCTGAGAGGGAGGAAGAAACAACCCTCCTTGGACATGTTTTTTTCTAAACGGCCTACAGGTGAAAGCGAGAAAAAT